ATGTATTGTGAATATGACAATTCTTCCCAAAGTGATCTATAGACTCAACACAATCCCAGTCAAAATCTCAGCAGCCTTTTTTATAGAAATTGGTAAGCTGATTCTAATAGTTATATGGAATATAAAAGTCCTAGCATAACCAAACACATTTGAAAAGGAACAAAGCTGAAGAACTTACACTATCTGATTCAAAGACTTATTATAAAGCATACAGTAAACAAGACAGTATGGTATTAGCATGAAAATAGACAAACAGATCAGTGGAACAGAATGAAGAGCACAGAAACAGATCCACCATATATAGATGACTAATTTTCAACAAAGGTACAAAGGCAAGAAAGAATAATCTTTTTAACAAATGGTGCTGAAACAATTGGCTATGCATAAGCAAAAAATTAACTTTGATGCATATATATTACATACAAAAATTAACTCAAAGTAGATCCTACCAAAATGTAAAACCTAAAAACTATAAGGCTTCTATAGGAAAAAAAAACCTTTGTGATCTTAGGTTAAGCAAATATAGATTCAACACCAAAAGCATGATCCCCCCAAAAACTGATAAATTGCACATTATCAAAATTTAAAACTTCTGTTCCTCAAAAGACATCATTAATAAAATTAAAAAGAAAACAAGTCACTGGGAAAAAAATGTATGCAAAACATATATTTGACAAAGAACTTGTATCTATCTAGACTACATTAAGAACTCTTACAACTTAATAATAGACAAATAACACATTTTAATGTAAAATATTCAAAAAGATTCTTCACTAAAAGATATATGAATGACAAATAAGCAAATAAAAAACTGTCCAAAATCATTAGTTACTAGTCATTATAAAAATGCAAATGGAAATCGCAGTAAGAAACATACCCACTGAAGTTAAAAAGAGTGTGTTTTTAGAGTGGCTGAAGTTAAAAAAGACTAACCATACCAAGGGTTGCAAGGATGTCAAGAAACCGGAATCCTAATGTACTGCTGGTGGTACAGTCACAGTAGAAAAATGTGACAATTTTAATTTCTTAAAAATCATGTGACCCAGACACAGTAGTACTATTACTCGATAGACATGAAAGTATGTTCTCACAAAAACTTGTATCCAAAAGGTCATAATTTCTTTCTTTGTAATCACTAATAATTGAAAACAACTCAAATATCTGAAATCATGGTATATCCATAAAATAGAATATACTACCCAATAATAAAATATAAACTACTGCTACACAAAAAAATCATGGGTAAATTTCAAAATAATTATGCTATTAAAGGAAGTAAGACAAAACAAAGAGTACATACTATGATTCAATTTATATACAAGAGTATAGGAAATGTTAGCTATTAATAAAATATATAGAAAGCAAATGAGTGATCACTTCAGTACTGGGGTAAGGAGAAATAATGAGGGAAGTAGGGATTATAAAGATATATGAGAAAATGTTTAGGAGTGGTAAGTTCATTATTTTAATTGTAATGATGGTTTCAAGGGTAAACTTGTCAAAACTAATCAAATGGGATACTTTAAATATGTGTAGCCTATAATCCATTAACATATGCCTCAATAAATATATATATAGATAGATTTTTTTTGAATCTTTTTTTGAATCTTTATGTATTTTCTTTATTTTTGTTATTGTAATGACTGGGACCTCCAGTAGGATGTTGAAAAGAAGTGAGGAGAGCACTCATCTTTGTCTTGTTTCTGAGCTTGTGGGGCAAGCATTTAACATATCACTGAATTATCAAAATAAATAGGAAATAGATTTATATTACACATGCATATGTAATTATGAGTGCAATATATATCTATTATACATGATTATGATATAGCAATCTATAGAATAAATTATAAAATATTTGACTTATATACTGTTATAATTATTATATAATATAGATATAGGTTATAAGGAATTAACTTAAGTGATCATGAAGGCTGGCAAATCTAAAATCTGCAAGGTGGGCCTCCAGCTACAGTTCCAGTCAGGAGGCTGGCAGACGGGAGAACCAGGAGAACTGACTTTCTAGTATTAAGTCCACAGGCAGTCTGCCATAGAACCGAGAAGAGCTGTTGCTGCAGATAAAATCCAAAGGTACTCTTCTTTTTTTAATTCTTTTTTTCTTTTTTTTTTTTATTTCAGCATATTATGAGGGTACAAATGTTAAGGTTACGTATATTGCCCATACCTCCCTCCCCCCCTTGAGTCAGAGCTTCAAGTGTGACCATCCCCCAAACATTAGACATCTCACTAATTATGTTTGTATATACCCATCCCCTCCTCCCACTCTCCACCTCCTGACACCGATAAATGTTATTCCTATATGTCCACTTAGGGGTTGATATATTAATACCAATTAATTTATTATTTTTTCTGAGACAGGGTCTCCTGCAACCTCAAATGCCTGGACTCAAGCAATCCTCCTGTCTCAGACTCCCAAGTAACTGGGACTACAGGCACACACCACCATGCCTGGCTAATTTTTCTATTTGTAGAGGCAGAGTCTTGCTCTTGTTCCAGCTGGTCTCGAACTCCTGGCCTCAAGCAATCCTCCCACCTCAGCCTCCCAAAGTGCTAGGATTACAAGCATGAGCCACCACACCTGGCTATATTTTAAGAGTTATAAAATAACTTATAAAAATAAAGTTATAAAAATAAAAAGCTATATTTTAAGAGTTCTAACTACAAATATTTTTTAAAAAGAGAGGGAGGAGACTTAATTATATTCTACTCCATTAGGTTAAATGCAGTTGCTTCTTGCTTAGAGACACTTTTCAAATCTGTTACACCAACTAGCAATTGATGCCAAATTCTTTATGAAGGAAAAATTGGGCAAAACATTACATTGAATTAGTTTGGTAGAAAGAGCTAAGATCCTTTATTGCAGTGGTCCCCAACCTTTTTGGCACCAGGAATGGTTTCATAGAACACAATTTTTCCATGGACCAGTACGGGGGATAGTTTCAGGATGATTCAAGGGCATTATATTTATTGTGCAGTCAACCCTCTCTGCTAATGATAATCTGTGTTTGCAGCTCTCCCCAGCGCTAGCATCACCACCTGAGCTCCACTTCAGATCATCAGGCATTAGATTCTCATAAGGAGCGTACAAACTAGATTTTTCACACGCGCAGTTTACAGTAGGGTTCGAGATCCTGTGAGAATCTAATGCTATCATTGATTTTTCAGGAGCCGGAGCTTATGCAGCGATGCGAGCAATGAGAGTGGCTGTAAACACAGATGAAGCTTCATCGCATGCTCGCTGCTCACCGGTTCCTAACAGGCCATAGGGACTGGTACTGGTCCCCGGCCGAGGGTGTTGGAGACCGCAGCTTTATTGAACATTGAATAGCTCTCTCTCTCCAAGTTTCAAATATTTGGTTTTAAGATCATAATCCAAATTATGTCTTCAAAATCTCTTCAAAATCAAGACCTATGTGGAAAAATTAATTTATCCCAATTTTCAAAAAAATAACAAATGAAATATTTATTTTTCACCATGACAGTAATAGCTATGTCAACATTGTTATAATCTTGATGTGGTGTGCAAACCATTTTAGCCTTATGAGGTACTTTTTCAAGCATCCCATTCATGGCATTTGTATTTTACTGTCAGTTATTCCAAGAATGCTTTGTTTTTTCTATTTGTTGGCGTTTTTTCAATAGTTTCTCTTTAATTTATAAAAACAAGAGCAAAGCAATTAAAAGGCATAATTACATTCCTTAAATGCTAACATATCTAGGTATTCTGATCTATTTAAAAATAACATAAAGTAAAAATCCAGGTAGAAATCACATCTTGATAAATTAATAAATGTCATTCTCGTTCATCTGTGGTTTCTTTATTCCCTTCCCATTCTTTTGGGAATTTTCCATTTCTGGCATATGTCCAATACACAAAATATCAAGTCTATGGATCTCCATTTAAAAGGAAAAGGAAAGCTTATTGTTTAGCAATATTTGATAGCTCCCAAATAAAATCAAAAAATAGAAATATACTCATAAAAAAGTGCTGCTAATACACTGTACCACTTTAACAAACAAATATATCAAATATATAAATAGATGTAATATCTGGCATTAAATTTTTATTTTATTTTTAAAACTTTGGTGAGGGAGGAGGAGAAGAACAAGAAAGGATAAACCAACAAATCAGAAGGTTTGTATAACCCAGTGCCTCAAAAATAGTAAGGGTTCAATAAACATTTTTTAAATAAATGAATGAATCAATGCATGAATTAAGAAGTCTGATTTCACAATCATTTCATCATCTATCTCCACTTTAGTTTATTAACATCACATCCATATTATCGCTTTTTATTAGCTCTTGAGCGGCAAATAGCAAAGTTTGGGAATCTTCCAAATGTCTAAGGGATACACTATGTTCAATTAAGCAATGTTAGTATATATAAGAAACATAGAATAAATTCACATAACAAAAACAGTATGAGATCAAGGATAATATTGTTTAATTAAAAAACAAAATAAAATAAAATTCGAGTTGTCTTCTTTAGGGTCCATTGTGAGAAGTGCCATAATTTTAGACATAAAAAGTTTTATGTGTGCCAACTAGAGAGCAACCCACAGGAATCTGTGGAATGTCTAAGCTATAAAATATAGAAATTGATTATACTTTCATGTATATAAAATAACTAAATAGGCAAGCAGATGAGTATACCTTGGTAAATATATGTGTGGATACATTTAGTCAAATTACAGTAATGAAGAAGTAAAAATTATAATTTATCCAATAACATGAACTGATATTTTTGAAGTGCTTAAAAAGATCTAAAACATTTCCTTTCTTAAAATAAACTTTTCTCTGTAGTTGTATTAATATCAATACAATATTCTTAGCAAGTCCTTTTTTCATAGCTAAGTGAAAGAATATTTGGCTCAGCCTATCTAAATTATCACAAATTTTGACTTATAGTCTGATGCAACTGTGATTGAACTATATTTGAATTACACTATGGAGCACACAAATTTGGATATTTGCTTACCTCGGACTTTAAAATAATTCACATGGTTTGCCACAGCCTCTGTAACACTTTCTTCCGGGCACATTTTTACTCCATTAGGAAACAGAATAGATCTCCGCCTTCTGAGTAACCACCGTCTTTCAGCTTCTCTGTGGTCCAGTGGCTGTTTCTTTTCAGTAGACAGAGATGGGTCTGTTGATTCTTCAGGGGGGAGAAAAGAAACTGCACTCTTGGGTTCTTGGATCTCCTCTAAAGATAAGTAGGTTTGTGCTACAGAGGGAAAACATAATTAAGTCTTCCTTTGATGAATGAAGATACAATACAAAAGGTAACAAATAAAGAAAAACTAACACGTGCTACATTTGGATTTTGAAGTCAACACTCAAATTATAGACAAGCATATATATCTAAAGAGGAGAGAAGCATTCCATTTTTTTCCATTTAATTCCACTCCTTTAATTCGAGATTGTTACTGAAATCAAGTATACATCCAATTTCAATATAAGAAATAAAAGGAAGATTTTAACCAGAAATTACTAATGAAGAAGGAAAACCAAAATTATTGGAGCTATTTTAAAAGTTTAAATAAAGCAATATAAAAGATTATAAATTAGTATTTGAATTTCTTACAGCAATCACATCAATAATGCTATTTTTGAAGAGAATATACTAGCGATATATATAAAGATAAAAACAAATGTAGATTTTTAAATACCTGTTAATGATGGAAGGTTTCCTTCTATCAGGAAAAGTATCAAAATACCCAGAGAAATCTTCCTAAAAAGAGGAAACATAATCATTGGGGCCAAAACAAAAGGAATGAGGAGAGGATGAAATCCTTAATTGAGCGTGCAAAGCCTTAAAACTTCCAATAACAAATCCTTACAGGAAAGTCCTAACATTTAAAAGTTTAAGAATGGACAACCACTCCAAAACCATTATAAATTAGCATAAAGAAAACCGTTGTCCTTTCAAAGTAGCTCTCCCTTCTTTTCTGAAATAACCAGCATGCTGTAAAAGCTGGTGAGATAAGCTAATTAGAGCAGATGGAGAGAGACAATTTCTTTAATCTAGCTAGCTAAGCTCTTTCTTAACACTCTCCTTGCCTTTAACAAGCAGTCCATTCAGGAATAATACATTTCACGTATAACTCACTGATTTTTCCAACTTTTCTGAATTTATTAGTTGAACCTGGTAGATTGGTATGTTCTCTAGCTTCTCCTAGGGGCTAAGATGTATACACATAAAATGTCCAGACTGACTATATCTACCTACTTTAGTAATACAGAGCTATATATACAAAACAAAATCAGTTCTCGTAACAAAGCTACTGTCCTGTAAATTTCCCTCCTTGGTAGAAAATTTTAAAATCTTTCACTATAGCCACTTACTTTCTCCTTCCTTACCAATAAAATGGGATAGAAATAGTAAAACAAACACATGGTAGTGCTGTTGTGAGGATTAAAACAGCCAATTAACTAATTTAATCCTCATATTGCTTAGAATACTGCCTGGAACATATAAAGCACTTAATATAAATAATAGCTACGTGATCTTAACTGTGTTGTTTAATTTGCTCTCAAATGTGACAGCCAGTGTGTTTCTCTACATGAGCAACTCTTAACCAAGAAAGGATTTCCTCCACAACCATAGGAACAGATGAAATTTTCTATACAAGGATAGTTACCAAATAAACCTAGTAGAAAGCAATTAAGTTAGTCACAATCTCTGTGGAAGCCAGAATTTACTATCAAATAGCAATGAATTAATATTTTATTTCATGTATCTTTGGGGACGTTCTCTGAAAAAAATGTTTTATAAAGATCTAAACCACATTTCTCTTGAGAATCCTGAACTAATCATGTTAGCAAAATCATCTTCAATGTTATCTTATGCTTTAGGAAAAACATATCAAGTGTAGTTTTCAATAGAGCCTCAAATAAACCACATTTTCAGCCCTTATAAAAGCTAACAAATCTAAATGACTGTTAAATACATATACATAGTTGCATTTACAAAATATTGGTGAATTTATCAGAAATTTATGTGCCAAACTTTATTGTATGAGTGGGAGAAAAAAGCCGAAAAATTTTGTTAGCTAAGCCAAAATTTAAAGTCTTAAGAAAAGCTTCATGTTGACAATTCAGAACAAGGGAGAACTTTTAGGTAACAAATATTAGTTGGATATTTCTCTTTTTGATGGCCTTGTTCATAATGCTGAAAAACCTTCTGAGAATCATAGTAATCTGGAAACAGGTCTGTACTTACATTGAGAAAACCTGGACTCAAATCATGGTTGTACTATTTAATGTTTGATTTTGGTAAATCACCTAAACTCTTTTAGCTGCTTTACTCACCAAAGAAATTAGGTATGATGATCTCTGCCTATATTACAGGGTCGTTGGTAAGAATTGCAAAATATGTAACCAAAGTGTTTGTATTCCTCTAATATTCTGAAATTATAAAAACACAAAATATGAAAATTTTTTGGAAACTAATGTATTGCATACTAGTTGTCTGTATTAAAAATGTTCATAAAGTCTAAAGAGGTTTCAAGCTTTGGAATTCTCTTTTGTTCAAGCTCCAGAATGAAATAAATTTTCCCAAATTTATATTATACATAGAGAATTTACATAAGAATTTCAAAAACATTATGTTCTATAAAATAGTTTGTAAAATTTCAGAAACTGGTATGTACTTGTTCTTTAAAAAACAAAAGTATAAAAAAGTCTCTGGCTTCATGTGTTTCTAAATAGGGTCATCATTTTATAAATTCATTTTAGGTTGACATTGATGTAATTGTAACTTTTAACTACACCATTCTTAGACTAACTGTAGGGTACAAAGAAGTAGGGTACAAATAAGTAGGTGATAACTGCCATAAATTTGTGCCATGGAAACCTGAGATTAAGTCCAACTGGAAAAAATGGAAAGAGTTTATCTCAGCTGGGCCTTAAATGGCCTGGTTGGCATTTCAGTGGGGATGGTTAATGGGAAGGATTAAGAGTTAGGAAAGAAATTCCTGGACATGATCAATAAGGTGGAAAAGTATACTGTTTATACAGAAAATAGAAAGTCATTTACTGGAGCAGGATAGGCCCATACAATAAATAGATTGGAAATGAAGTCTGACAAGCTTAATATATAGATGGATTATGGAATACCTTGAAAGTCTTACTAAGAATTTTGAATTTTTTACCTACAGATGAAACAGATGATCTCTCTCATTTTTAAGTACCCAGAAAAAAATATTCCTTGAGTTTTTAAAAAAACTTCTTTTAAGGAAATATTTCAAAATCTCATATGATGATCCTTGAACCTTGTTACGCTTCAAGAAATGTCCCCAAATCATAAGCATATAAGAACTAAACATAAAGCTCCACACTTTAGAGATAAGTACAGGTTTCTTCATCCATACCTAATTCCAAGTCAGTTGAGGATCATTTATTGATTCACTAAAATTTTCTAAAATGTTTACTATGTGCTACTAATATACTTACTTAATACAGGAAACAGAAAATATTTCCAGGAGCTCACAGTCAAAAATATTTAAGGAGCTCGCAGTCAAAAGAAAAAAACATGTACACAAATAATGTAATAAAAGCAATTAGATAGGGACATACAGATTGTTATAAGACAGCAGGAGAGAGAATGAATCATTCTGTTTGAGCAGATGCAAAGGTGGTGACATCTGAGTTAGATTTTGGGAAAATAAAATTCACATGAAGTAGTGAAAAGGAATAGCATGTGCAAGGCCTGTAGGTATGAAGGTACAATATCATAACACCCACTCCACATAACCATCTATGGTCTTGGGTTTAACACGACATTTACACTCATGGTACAACATAGTCCATAACCTGGCTCCAGGCTTACTTTGTAGAAGAATACAGCACAGGAAACAGTGTTATCATGATAATTTCAGGTAAAGTACATCTTCATCTTTATAGGAGTCCTGACTCTGATTTCTCCAGCCCCCAAAAGGTATGCACTGAGTTGTAACAGAAGAGACCACCTGGGTAAATGCAGGTTCACAGCAGCAGAAGGACGCCTCATACACAGAGAACCTCTTAACAACATGTAGGCAAAGCTTCCAAATTTCTACAAGGACAAGTTTAGTTATAAGAGACTCCAGAGGGAGTTTTAATGCATGAATAATTTTATATGACTAATAAGTATGGGACAATGGAAAGATGAGGATAGAATACAGGCTGGAACAAGATTAAGATGGGCCCTATATGACAAGTCTAAACCTCTTTTTCTTCGTGACATAAAAAGGAAAGCTGATTTTAAGAGGTATTAAACTTTTCCTAAGACCTAATTAAGTAATTGAATATGACTTTTTTTAAAAACTTGCTTTTTTCTTTTAATCACAACAGTTGTGAGTTAAATACATTATCTTCTCCAGGAAGGATTGCTCTGTCCATGAACAATCCTCTCGCTACCTCTCAACCTCCTTTCACTAACACACACACACACACACACACACACACACACACACACACACACACACACACCTCTAGGCTGAGCTCCCTCCAGTGTTCTCAAAGAAACTATGATTGTTCTTACCAGAGAATATTAAAATTATTCCTATGTCCACAAATGACTCAGGAAGAAGAGCTGTCACTCACTTTTTGTGCCTAGGAAAATGCTTGCTAGTAGTAGATGCTTAAAAAATTTCCCTAGCATTCAATTTTTGAACTAGCATTTGAATAAGTTATATGACTAAAATAGGAAGAAAAATTAATTTAAGCATCAATTAAATGATATGCACTGGGCATGATACAATCAGAAACTTATTTCTAATAATGGTTCATATTTCTTAAGAAAAATATTACACCTCTATTTAATGAATTGGAAATATGTTTAATATAAAATGTCGATATCATCAAAGCATTATTTGCACATGAATTTAGGAAAATGAATTTTAAACAATCTTCAAAACATGATAAAGGACAGTGGTATCTTTGAAAAACATACAAACACAAAAGTTAAGAAATCACACGATGTCTTAAATTCTTGCTTTCCCAAAATTAGATGTACAAAACAATTAATAGTCACCTTAAAAAGTCTCCAACACATACACAAATTGGGAATGAAATATGTAATTATAACCATCTTCATATGAAACCTCCAAAAGACAAATATTTAACAATATAAAGATGGTGACTGGATTAACAAAAGCTAAGGACACAGGCTTAACTGACAATCTCAATTCACAAGATTTTGAAATAAAATATTCAGGTATTTTAGCTTTATCTTAAATTGCCTTTGCTTCACCCTCTTTACCTATAGTTACAACACAAATCCAAGAGATGCTTAAAACAGAAGATGAAAATAATATTGTTAAAAAGCTTTTTTCTTATCTGAGAAAATACCTATAATCATGTCTCTCTCAAAATATTCCTGATAACATTAGAAGGTTCTGAAATGCTTAATCATATATAATACCACCATTATCACATGAATTCAGAGTTGTTACCTGAATATTTAATAAAAAAAATTAAGCTCCATGAGGATCATAGGTCTCTAAAAACTACAATTTAAAAATATAAAGGCAATGACAGCAATCTGGCTTTGCAGATGAATACTGGCTAAACTAAGCTATAAAATTATATATTTAGTTCTAAGAATTAATAAATAGGACTTCAAAGGTATTTTTTTGTTAAAGTTGTGAGGAGACCAATTTTATCTTCTACATTATAGAAACTGTGTACATATATTTTGGAATAATGTAGGAGTGGATATTTATATAGCTATGCCTCAAATAAACTAAGTTGAGCTACATGTATAATTTTTAAAAACCTATTCTGGAGAGCTAAATTTTTTTGTTCCAAATTTTATCCTGAACAAATGAACTAAGTTCTCAGATCCCAACATATAACAAAGAAATGGAAAAAGAAATTAGAGCAGAGTAACTGTATTTAGCAATTGAGAATAATAAGCTATGCTTTAAAAGAATGAATTTTGTCATCTTCCTAACATTATGAATGTCTTTTTTTACACCATACAGAAGGGATGCCGTAAATGGCATTTTCTGAAGCCTTGATACTAAATTCTCTTTTAAAAAAAATACACAGTATTCATACTGCATGCTTGAGCTGCAAAGAATAGAATTACAATGATATGACTTGTCAACAAATTTGACAAGCACTGGGGCTGGCACCAGGGAGGACCTAACTCCCCTCAACACCACGTCATGTGGAAGTACAGATCACATAGTTTTATTATATACAAAAACATTCCCACATTACATATGCTATTGCATAATCCAAGCATATTTACTCAGAAAAATATGAAATATTTATGAAATTTTAATTTCTATCTAATAAGTTTATATCATCCCCATTCCTACTCCATCTATGAGATCCCAACAATTCTAATAATATATTTTATATATTTTAAATAATGTCCAATGACTTATAAAACTACTGCAAGTTATTTTCTTCTCTGTGAGCTGACTAACACAAATGCTGGTAAGAGGCTTTCCAGTAATCTTAGAGAACATCTGTGTCATGTTTGTACAGATTAACTAGCTACTGCTGCCCTTCTGTTGCTGTAAATGAAGTTTCAAAATGAGTTCTCGAATATCTTCCCGTTTGGTCTTTATGACATGACGAGGAAACCATTTCTCCAAATGAATTGGAAGTTCAAAATTAACAATAGGATCCTAATGAGAGAAAATAAAGAATGCAATCATGTTAACAGCATAATTTCAAATTTGTTTTAATTTCATTTTTACAAGAAATGAGAAACTGCTAACTTTTTAAAAATAACAACTGTATTAAGATATAAGCCATATAATACAATTCACCTAAAATATACGATATAATGGTTTTTAGTATACTATCACCACAATCAATTTTAGAACATTTTTATTAAATTGCTAACTTTTGAGCATCAAAATTAAATACTATCTGTTCTGCTACTATGCATGTTTAAGTGAAATCAGCGCAAACAATAGATAGAGATTGTGGTTTTATCATAATTTTCCCAAGATGTTAATATTTTGAAACTATTAAAACAAAAAGAAAAGTCTTATCAATAAATGAAGAATCTCATAAAAAATGAAAAATCATACAAAAGTGCCTTCTTTTAATGCAGGAAATAGCTGATGGCTTCAAGATCTGCTACATTTTCTATTATGTTAAGCTTAATCAAGAAATTGTAAATTGAAATTGCAAAGACATTTCCCTCTATGTTTAAAAAAAAAAAAGAATTGCTGAAGAAGGTTACCCTTAGATATGTTTATAAATTTGATGAAATTAATAGAAGCTATATATAAGGACTATGTCTTAAAGAAGAAATCGTGAGCCCCAGGGTGAAAGGCTAAAAGGATAGACACATTGTGGAGATTTCCTGTGCTAGGATTTCTATATTAGAAGTAATGTTGTTTTTATTAGGGTTTAGTTCCATAGGTTTTGAGTAGTCTACCTTAAGCCTATTTTTTTTTAACCTAAGCTATGTTACATTAGTGTACAAATTTAAAAAACACAACATTTAGATTTTGGCAATTTCTTCCCCAGTAATCTTACATAGTGATTCATCCTGTATTAGAAGTATATTCTATTGACTGAAGGTATATAAAGTAGAATAATGTAACAGACTCAGAATATGTTATATAATAAGTAAGGTACTTTGAATTTTCTAAACACAAAATGAAATCTATTTGGCAAGAATATCAGGGGGACCAGAGATGTCACCTTATGATGAAGTTCCAGTGTGGAATTAAGAAGGGGGAAAAAATCCCAATGTAACAAGTATTTATGTACAATCTCTTACTATATATTATCATTCTTCCCCAATATTAAAAAAATCAAAAAGTTGTAACTGTGTACTAAAACCCTCATGCTTTGAAAGTACCTTTTTCCAAGCAGACTCCTAGTCAAAAACACCCCATCTTCATAAATAATATTGGTAATGACTAAAGTAATGAGCTGATAGGTCAAAGAGCAATTCCTTGCTATTTAAAATTTCTTTCTTTCTTTCTTTTTTGAGACAGAGTCTCATTTTTTTGCCTGGGCTAGAGTGCCGTGGCATAAGCCTAGCTCACAACAACCTCAAACTCCCGGGCTCAAGCAATCCTTCTGCCTCAGCCTCCCAAGTAGCTGGGACTACAGGCATACGCCACCATGCCCAGTTAATTTTTTCTCTATATATTTTTAGTTGACCAATTAATTTCTTTCTATTTTTAGTAGAGACAGGGTCTTGCTCTTGCTCAAACTGATTTTGAACTCCTGACCTTGAGCGATCCTCCCGCCTCAGCCTCCCAGAGTGCTAGGATTACAGGCGTGAGCCACCGTGCCTGGCCTAAAATTTCTTAATATCGCTATAGTTTCTACAGAGTCTCTGTGAGCTAGAAAATTAAAAGCCACATCTGTAATTGTAATTTTTCAAGCTCTAGTTTTCTGAGCTACTTGAATAAACAGGTATGTTAGTTTTAGAAAATTCTCTTTTAAATATTGAGACTGCCCTATTCTCTCTCTCTCTCCAATCCTTCTGGGACTACAATTACATGTAAATTAGACCTTTGACTGTCTCACACTTGTTTTTTATGCGCTGTTCTCTTCGAGCTACAGTTGGGTACTTTATATTATCTTTCCTTAAAGTTCATTAATCCTGTTTTCTGCTGTTTCAAGTCTGTTATTAAACCCATCCAATATATTCTTAATTTCATATATATCATTACATATTTTCAGCTCTAGAGTGTCCATTTTATTTTGTATACTCCATCTCTTCATCCATTTTGTTCATCTTTGACTTTATTTTCTCTAACATATTAATCAAATCATTTTAAAGTTCTTATCTGCTTATTATAATATCTATATTATGTGCGGTTCTATTTGTTTCTTTTTTTTCTTTCTTTTAATCTTGATTATCTGTAACATTTTCTTGTCTCTTTGCTTGGCCAGTAACTTGTGTACTGGCAACTGTGAATAAAAAAACTTATTTATATCTTCACATACCTTGAAAAAGCTTTCCACATATTGCAGTAAATATACTCCACAATCACTGCTATTGTCCTGTTTAGGAACTTTAGGGCATAGGTCCACCATGTTTGTTTTGCTGAACTCACGATGAGTTTTTCGCTTAACTTCCCACTCTACCTCTAAATACCTAAAATCATGAATAAACTGAGTGACTCAAGCAGAAATCTCTTTATCAGTATGCAACATTTTTACAAAGGCAGAAAAACATTTGCTGCCAGATGTATTATCTCAAGCCAAATTTCCAGAGACTGAATTTTGCAAACTATATTTTGTGAGCCTTCCCAAATGCTACTTTAAAGAAAATATGCAATTTTCAAACTAAAAGCTAAACTTTTTCAACAATTCAACTTTCACAACTCAAACACATTGAGTTATTTATATTATAAAGTAAACTAACAAATATTTTAATATTTCATTGTTAGATTTTTCCAGGTCCTAAGTAAATTACAAAATTACACACACACACAACACATAATACAAATGGGAAAGACTTCTTGTATTTTTCTAAAGTGGTACTTTTGATAATTGCTAATATTTGCAATGCTCCCTTATAAAATTATGCTTTTTGTTCAATTTTAAACATAAATTCTGAATTTATTTTGATATAATCCTTGAGAAATATTAATATTTGAATATTAACCCAGAATAGAGGATATTTATTCATGATTAGATTCATCAGCCTCATTTAAATACATAATAAAATATAATTTCTGATAGTCTTTTTTTTTTTTTTTTTTTTTTTTGAGACAGAGTCTCACTTTGTTGCCCAGGCTAGAGTGAGTGCCGTGGCGTCAGCCTGGCTCACAGCAACCTCAATCTCCTGGGCTCAGCGATCCTACTGCCTCAGCCTCCCGAGTAGCTGGGACTACAGGCATGCACCACCATGCCCGGCTAATTTTTTGTATATATATTTTTAGTTGGTCAATTAATTTCTTTCTATTTTTAGTAGAGACAGGGTCTCGCTCAGGCTGGTTTCGAACTCCTGACCTTGAGCAATCCGCCCGCCTCGGCCTCCCAAAGTGCTAGGATTACAGGCATGAGCCACCGCGCCCGGACTCTGATAGTCTTTTCAGTAATTCTTAAGGTAGCTTCAAAATTACTGAGGTTTTACATAACAGACTGAATGATAAAATTGCCATTACTTACTCTCGTAAATTCTGAACTGTGTTTTGTATAGAAGCAGCTTTTAAGGAGTCTAGTATGAGAATACATGGCCTATGAAAAGTAAAGAATAAAATCAAGATTTATGTACTTGTATGTGAAATATATTTAAATATCTAAAAAAACTGATAGCATGTACCTACCTTTTACACATTTTCTTTGGTACTGACATATTCATCTCGGTACTCTGAAATGATATGGATTTTTATTATGACTTTTCAATTAAAGCTGGTTTGAATTAATATTCAAATTATTAAATAATAAAGCAATTATGAGTCTTTATTGTATGTTTAATGAAGATTATTTAGATAAGCTTACATTGTAATTTGTATGCACAGTAGTAATCAAAGAAAAACTATCTGGGATCCATTTAATTTTTTCATGGTTGATGTTATGAATAAAATTCAATCCTTAAGAATGTTTCAAACAACTTTGAAATTTAAATTTCAAATAAGAGTTCTTTTCGTCATCTGAAGTGAGCTAGCTTCATTTTATAAAAATTCATTAATACTGGTAAAACAGTTGCTTATACACTTTGGGATGTGACCTCAAGCAGTTATAAAGCTTTAACCTGTCCTAAAAAACAATCTAGAACTTTGCTTCTATTCAAAGTTATCATCTTAAACAAAGATAAACAAGTTAATTTAACCTATCTTTACATACATTTTCTAATACAAGTTATGTCAGTAGAGACTCATTCCTTTCCTTTGAAGCATAAGAAGCAGAGTATTAATGCATATTAAGAAAAAAGGATGGGAAATTTTGTGGGTTTTGTTTTTGTTCATAAATTGGAGAAAACATATCAAACTTAAACAGATGTCTTTAATGTAGATCTTTGCAGTATCTTTATTATTCTAATACACACAGTGACTCTCTAAGAGATGAAAAGTACACAGGATTTGCCCAACTTAACTGACCTTAGAATCCTTTTTATCTTAAACTGCATTTAGAACTGCATTCCAAGGCACTCAATCTGAGAAACCTGGCCCTAGAAACAAGAAGGAACTCTCCTATACCACCACTGTGACAGCAGAAAAGAAAATCTTCCACCATAGGAAGTAACATTCTGTACGGGACAGTAAAGACATAGGCCTATGCCAGAGAGGCCTATATCTGTACACAAAAAAAAAATTCATTAGGTGGCTATCTTAATCAATTAGAACACTAAATCTAGACTACGCTCAGTAGTTTTGAGCCCCACATAAAGAAAAGTTAATGGTAACTATTTTAGTCTACAGAGTCATATAAGTTGACCTTGAGTCTAACTTGAATAATTTTTACCAACAATTTACAATAGAAACTGGAATATAAAATATAAAACTTGCTAAGATTATTAATTACACTAAGTTAAAAAAGTTACTGACATAATGAATAAAAAAAGTAAACATGATCCTTAAAAATTAGAAAAGTAGTTAACCAAGATGTACATCAGATAAACTACTAAATAAACAAACCTTGGAAGTTAAAGCACACTTAACAGATACAAGAAGAATGAAAACTCTCTTGTTCTCTTTCCTAGCCTCATAAAAACTGTCAAAGAATCATAAAGCTGCACGATTTAATGACAGGCCACTACTATCCAGCATAGTCCACCTAGCTATGCCCTATCTTATAGTTAATATTATTATATTCATGAGTTTTCCTTCATATCTGTAAAGAACATACTTACTTGAGAATCCTCTGCACTCAAAGATGGTGTCGATGTAGTATGTAGATCATTATCTAGTTAGAAATAACAAAGTGATTATGAGTCTTTATTGTATTTTTAATACAGAACATTTAGATAAGCTTAAATTGTAATTTGTATGCGCAGTAGTAATTAAAGAAAAAATACCTGGGATCTATTTAATTTTTCCATGGTTAATGTCATGAATAAAATTCACTCAACAGGTAAAACTGACAATGGTTGGCTGTTATCAGACAATACATAAACCACAGAGCCAAAACCTGAAATACCAGTTAGCTGGTCCAATCTCCTATAAAAAGATGATCTTCAAAGATAACTCATTAATCAAAACGTCTGCTGTTTTAATGTGGAAGGTAGTCAAATTTCCTAGTAATGGTTCTTCTAACTATGACCATAGAGTTTTGCATAAGTACCCTTTTGAAGCTCAGGAGGATTAGGGAGAATTGAAAATAATTGGTTGCTTTACCAGTTTTTCTTTCTTCCTCCTAGGTTTTGGCCAGCATTAATGGTAATGGCTATTATCAATTCTGCTTGCTTCTTAGGGTACAGCTATAAAACATTTAATTGGGATCTTTTTCTTACAGAAAGTAGGCTTATTTCCTTACTTAAGATTTTGGTTTATAACATAAGAAAAATCATCGAAGAATTATAATAGATTATGTATTACCTAGCCAAATTATCAGAGTCCACAAGAAATGTGTTAAATTTAAGAATTATAAGAGATCATATATTACCTAGCCAAATTACCAGAGTCACAAGAAATATGTTAAATTTTATTAAGTAAAAACAGTAGGCCGGGCGCGGTGGCTCACGCCTGTAATCCTAGCTCTTGGGAGGCCGAGGCGGGCGGATTGCTCAAGGTCAGGAGTTCAAAACCAGCCTGAGCAAGAGCGAGACCCCGTCTCTACTATAAATAGAAAGAAATTAATTGGCCAACTGATATATATATAAAAAAAATTAGCCGGGCATGGTGGCGCATGCCTGTAGTCCCAGCTACTCAGGAGGCTGAGGCAGGAGGATCGCTTGAGCACAGGAGTTTGAGGTTGCTGTGAGCTATGCTGACGCCACGGCACTCACTCTAGCCTGGGCAACAAAGTGAGACTCTGTCTCAAAAAAAAAAAAAAAAAAAAAAAAAAAAAAAACAGGAGATTTCAAGCTATGCCTGAAAATCTATGGCATGAATTCTTAGTAATGTTAGCAAATCTATTTTATTAAAAAAACGCTATAATGTTATTAATTGGATAAATTTAGTTATTCCACAATGTATACATACTTCAAAACATCATACTGTACATGGTAAATACATACAATTTTTTCTGTCAATTTAAAAAAAAGAGTTAAAACAAGCAAAAAATGCCAATGGAAATAATAATTTTAAGATGCATGGGAATAAACATCAAATTTAGCATGATGGTTACTTCTGGATTGAAGAAAGAATAATGGGAAAGATCACAGAGGAGATTTTGATTATATCTGTAAAGTTAATTTCTTAACCTAGGTGAAGGGGTACCAATAGTTGCTTATGTTAACTATACCTTTTTATATATTTGAAATATTTCATAATAAAATCAATAATTAATAATTTTAAATGCTATAATAAAACTTGATATAATAGTATAACTTAAGAATTACAATTTCTCTTACATACAATTGGGTGTTTATCATGAAAATTTCAGACTTTTTTTCTGTCTTCTAGTACGTTTAATGGTAACAAATAACTATATTACCTTTAACTTCATATTGTTCCTATAACCATTATATTAATAATATTCATCATTATTAAAAACGCCATCTACATTAAGGATGTCACCTATTGTTTTGTTGTCATGTTGGGACTGCTGAGCCTGGGACTGCTGAGAAATAGTTTGTGGAAAATCTTCATACACGGCTTCTTCTAACCACGGAAAACAAATGACTGCAAGATACCAGTGAGACCTGTTGAAAAAGAACTACAATCTTAATAACATGCAGTCTAAACAATGTAGAAGAATACATTCTAGAGCTGAGAAAGTGGGTATGACAAACTTCATATTAATTTTGAAATTGTCCATCATAATTTGTGACTATAATGTAGAGCATATATTCCAAAACTAATTAAATATCCAAAGTTACCAAGGCATAAGTAACACTACTTAGGGTAACATCTGAATAACTCAAACTTATTTACTTGCATATGCAATCAGTGTTTCTCCTTGAGGATCTGCTTTAATAAATAAACTCATAGCCTCACCTTTTTTGCACTAGTACTTAAAGAGTTTGTTCTCTTAAGTATTTAAAAATTCACCTTAAAATATTTTGATTTTTTTTATTTAGAAAATCTTTTCTTGAATCAAAAAAAAAATTCAATGTTTTAGTCATTATAGTCTTGTGATCATTTGTCCTTTTGGTTTTTTCACTATATGAACCACATAGCCATTGTCAAGTCAAAATCCAAGATAAGTAATTCACTGTTTTAGCTACTTTTTTTTTTTTTGTCTTAGCTACTTTTATAGAAAAAAATTTAAAATAATACCTGGGACTTACGTATCCATAATTTCTACTGATTATTCATCTAAAAACACTACACAATTTTTTTTTTTTCTGAACTCTCTCAATTTGTTTTTAAATAATCTAAAATACTCACGATTCATTTACAGGTACAAAGATGTAATCTTTATTAAAAATGTTTATGTGACGAGTCCAGGTTCTTACTCTTTTATGTCTTCTCTGTGCCATTCTGGGACAATGAAAGATAGATTTGATATATTAACATTTTTTAATTTACAATAAGGAATTCAAGAGCCATTTTTATATACTGAAAAATGTTAGGTTTAGTTTATTTACCCACCTAAATACTATTTAACACACTATAAATATATTCCCTTTTATTAACTCCTGGTTGTTCTTAAATTTAATCACTATAAACAATAATGAAATGGACAAAATAAAGAAAGTGATTTATTGAATGTTTTATGGATTCTAAAAGTGGCTCACCAAATGAATATAAACACAGTTAAACTTATTTATTCTGCTTAGCTACATCTGAACCTGATATACAACATTATCATTAAACCTTAACAGAATTATCCAAATGTTATATCTGTGATGAGAAATGTTTTAAAACTTAATGGAGGCCGGGCGTGGTGGCTCACGCCTATAATCCTAGCACTTTGGGAGGCCGAGGCGGGCGGATTGCTCAAGGTCAGGAGTTCGAAACCAGCCTGAGCGAGACCCCGTCTCTACCAAAAATAGAAATAAATTAATTGACCAACTAAAATATATATATACAAAAAATTAGCCGGGCATGGTGGCACATGCCTGTAGTCCCAGCTACTCGGGAGGCTGAGGCAGTAGGATCGCTGAGCCCCGGAGATTGAGGTTGCTGTGAGTCAGGCTGACGCCATGGCACTCACTCTAGCCTGGGCAACAGAGTGAGACTCTGTCTCAAAAAAAATATATATAAAAAAAAAAAAAAAACTTAATGGAGGAGAAGAAATGAGGCTTTTATGCTTAGATTTTATTTTATTTTATCATTTCAGGAAATTATGGGGTACAAACATTTTGGCTACATGTTATAACTATGCCACATCCCAACCATGATTTGAGATGTGCCCTTTCCCCTGCTACAACGCTAACCGTGTCCATTAGTTGTGAGTTTACCCACTCTCAACCCCCACCCCCAATGAATATTACTACTCTGTGAGCACCTTAGTGTTGATCAGTCAGTGCCAGTTTGACGGCGAGTACAAGTGGTGCCTATTCTTCCATTCTTGTGATACCTCACTTTGGAGGATGGACTCAAGCTCTATCCAGGAAAATGTCAGAGGTACTAGATCACTGTTGTTTTTTATAATTAAGTAGTATTCCATTGTATACATATACCATATTTTATTAATCCACTCATGGATTGAAGAGCACTTGAGTTGTTTCCACATCCTTGATATAGTGAATTGTGCTGCCATATACATTTGAGTACAGATGTCTTTATTACAGAATGACTTTTGTTCCTTTGCCTAACAGTTTTATGGCTAGATCAAATGGTAGTTCTATTTGTAGCTCTTTCAGGTATCTCCAAATTCTTTTCCACAGAGGTTGTACTAATTTGCAGTCCCATCAGCAGTGTAAGAGTGTTCCTATCTCTGTCCATTCTCACCAGTATTTGTTCCTTTGGTGCTTTATTTTGGTGCTTTATTTTTTGATAAAGGCCAATCAAAAAATTAGGTGATATCTCATTGTGGGTTAGGTGATATCTCATTATGGTTTTGATTTGCATTTCCCTAATGATTAGAGATGTTGAACATTTTTTTTATATGTTTGCTGTCCATTATTCTGTCTTCTTTTGAAAAGTTTCTGTTCATGTCCTTTGCCCATTTATTGATAGGATTGTTTGATTTTTTCTTGTTGACTTTTTTTAAGTTCTAGATAGATTCTTGTTACCAGCCCTGTATCGGATATGTGGAGAGCAAATATTTTCTCCCATTCTGTAGGTTTCCTTGGCTGTATAGAAGCTTTTTAATTTGATCAGGCCCCGTTTATTTATTTTTGTTGCTGCTGTGATTGCTTTGGGGGGTCTTCTTCATAAACTCTTTACCTTGGCCAATGTCTGAAAGAGTCTTCCCTACATTTTCTTCTAGGATTCTTAAGGTTTCATGCCTTAGGTTTAAGTCTGTTATCATCTTGAATTGATTTTTGTAAGAAGTGAGAGGTGGGGATCCAGTTTCAATCTTCTGTGTGTAGCTATCCAGTTTTCCCAGCACCATTTATTGAAAAGGGGTTCTTTCCCCAGTGTATATTTTTGTCTGCTTTGTCAAAGAATTAGATGACAATATGCAGATGTTTTCATCTCTGGATTCTCAGTCCTGTTCCTAAGGTCTATGTCTCTATTCTTGTGCCAATACCATGCTGTTTTCGTTACTACAGCCTTGTAGTACAGCTTGAAGTCTAGTAGACTCATACCTCCCAGTTTGTTGTTTTTGCTTAAAATTGCTTTGGCTATATAAAGTCTTCTCTGGTTCCATACAAAGCATAGAATTATTTTTTCTAGATCTGTGAAGAATGATTTAAGGGCATTCAAATGGGGGCAGAAGAGATCAAACTCTCTCTTTGCTGATCTGATATGACATTGATATGATATGATATGATATGATATGATATGATATGATATGATATGATATGATATCTAGAAAACCCCAAAGATTCAAACAAGAGATTCCTGGAATTGATAAATCAATTCAATAAAGTCTTCAGATACAAAATTAATTACACACAAATCAGAGACATTCTTATACGCCAATAACAGTCAAGCCGAAATTCTAATAAAAAATGTAGTACCTTTTATGACAGCCTCAAAGAAAATCAAATATCTCAGTATACATTTAACAAAAGAGGTGAGAGACATATACAGGGAGAACTATGAAACACTAAGAAAAGAAATTGTAGAAAATGTAAACAGATGGAAAAATCTACCTTGTTCATGGATTGGTAGAATCAACATTGTTAAAATGTCCATACTACCTAGAGCAATCTACAGAATTAATGTAATCCCTATCAAAGTATGCTTAGATTTTAAAAAATGAAACTCATCTCCCTTCCTTTCATACATAAGAAAAGTATAGCACAATGTAGTTAAGTGTGCCCACCATTCATCCATCTTTCCTTTTATTTCATCAACAAATATTTATTAAGGTCCTAAGAACAAATAAAGAAAATTATCTACACTGACCTAAAAGAAATCATAATCTAATGAGGGCAGAAAAAAAGTATAACAAATAACTAAAATGTAAGTGTTATAAGGGATACAAAAGAATTATATTAAAGTATCTAAGATAACCACTTAGAACAGGGTTAGCATGCACATACACAAACACCAGTTTCTTTTCTCAGGATTGGCATGCACATATAGAAATACTAGTTTCTTTTCTTTAATCAGGGGAGTTAAGGAGAGACGATATCAAACAAAGTTGGATGTCAAAGAAAAGACTTAGTTCATTTCTGAAGGATAACACCTAAAAAAATAGTCTTAGGAAAAAAATGGCATTTAATGGGGGCATAAAGGAAGTAGTGTGTGACTTCTGGCTCATTCCCTTAGAAAGAACTCTTCATGCAGAGGAAAAAACAAACCATTAAGCTCTTAAACACTTATTACCAAGTAATGTAGGAAACTGACATCTTTGCCTCATCCTTGTGCATCTGAATATCTAACCAAAACCACATGGTGTAAACATTAGGTATAAGATAGGATCCAGAATGAGCTAAAAGTTGTGACAGGGATTAGACACTATGTGGAAGATTAACTACATAAATAATCAGGAGTTGCATGTTTATTGAATTTTCTCATTTCAGAAGAATCCAACCATTATAATTATTATAAACAATTACTTTCAACTAGTGCATAGTCTGTTAATTTGTTTTCCATTTGGAAAACTTAAGGAGAGACAACTGGTTTTCTTTGTTTTATAATGTTGGTGTTTGACAGACCTCCTGATTATGCTAACCTTATCTGATTAGGAATATAATAGACATAGAAAGGGGATGGGAAGGATAGGAGAGAATATGAGAGTCACACATGATCTCTTAGTCTCAAGTTGCTAACTATATAGGAAATTCCAATTAAATGTCTAACAGTTCTCTCAGTATTCAATAATAGGCACTCTTATTATATTTTATTTTGAGTTTCCATTAATAGTATGTTCCAAGCACTGGGCAAGGCACTGGGGATACAGTGAAAATGAGACAGAGGAGGTCCCTGACTTCATGGAGCTTAGGATGCGAAACATAAAATAAGCAAACAAAATGATTAATGATCATATTGTGAGACAAAAATAAAAAGTGCCAGGAGAAGAAGCTTCAGGCAGAAAATAGGGAAGAGCTTAGCATATTTGAAAACTGAAAAGAGGAAGGTTGACCTGAAGTGTGGTAAATGTTGTGAGATGAGTTTAGAGTGATGGAAAGATCTTGCAGGATCTCATAAACTATGGCAAGGAGTTTCAAAATCATTTAGTCTGCAGTTTCCTAATACTAGTGGTTTGAGCCTTTTGTTGTCAATTTATTGGCCATTAAAATTTCTATCTCTTGCCACTCTGCTTCCGGATTATCTTTTTATCTTTTCTTTTTCCTGATTTGTAGGGTTTGTGTAATCTTTGTATATTTTTTTTAATTTCATGATATTACAGGGGTACAAATGTTTAGGTTACATATATTGCCTTTGCCCCGCCCAAGTCAGAGCTTCAAGTGTGTCCATCCCCCAGATGGTGCGCACTGCACCCATTAGGTGTGAATATATCCATCCCTTCCTCCCCCCTCCCATCTGCCCAACACCGGATGAATGTTACTACTACAGGTGCACTTAAGTGTTGATCGGTTAATACCAATTTGATGGTGAGTACATGTCATGCTTATTTTTCTATTCTTTTGATATTTCACTTAGTAGAATGGGCTCCAGCTCTATCCAGGATAATAAAAGAGGTGCTAGATCACCTTTGTTTTCTGTGGCTCAGTAGAACTCTGTGGTATAAATATACCACATTTTATTAATCCATTCATGTATTGATGGGCACTTGTGTTGTTTCCACATCTTTGCAATCGTGAATTGTGCTGCTATGAACATCCAAGTGCAGATGTCTTTTTTATAGAATGTCTTTTTTTCCTTTGGGTAGATGCCCGGTAATGGGATTGCTGGATCAATTGGTATTTGTACTTGTAGCTCTTTGAGGTATCTACGTATTGCCTTCCACAGAGGTGGTACTTGTTTACAGTCCCACCAGCAGTGTATGAGCGTTCCTATCTCTCCATATCCATACCAACATTTATTGTTTTGGGACTTTTTGATAAAGGCCATTCTCACTGGGGATAAGTGATATCTCATTGTGGTTTTGATTTGCATTTCCCTGATGAGTAGAAATGTTGAGCATTTTTTCATGTTTCTTGGCCATTAGTCTGTCTTCTCTTGAAAATCTTTGTGTAACTATTAATGCTTAGTCTGATATACCAGACTGTGTGAATACCAATGCTTGATCTGTCAAGTATACATTAGCATTCACACAATTTAACATGTGTATATGTGAGTGTGTGTTTATGAGATCAAGCATTAGTAAGGGTACCCTAGACTATGCTGCTCATGTACCTTTGTATTTATTACTTTTATACATAATCAGGTATAAAATATTTAATTTTTAAAAAACCTAATATACAGCAGAATCTATCTACTTTTATTTCCTTAGTTTGAAGGTGGGTATACCAAATACATAATCTGTACATTGAATCATCTTAAATCATCTTAAAATATGGGATTAACTGCATGATATCAACTATTAATTTCTGTATACATAAAATAGAACAGGAGGGCATCAGAAATGTTAAGTATCAAATTTACTTAATCAATCTCCACCTTCCATATAACTTCCTCTCTAATAACCCTGATTATCAGGAATATTTTCAAATTGTGATTTTTCTCCTTAATTGATCCTGATAGGCCTTGTTCATCAGCACAAATTCTAAACCTATAAAGACACTCAAAATATAGTTGACTATATATCCCAGTATATATACTAGTTGCTCAGTGTAACCATTAATAGAATCTCCTGTTATTCTCACAAGTGTTCCAATTTAGACCATAAATTGTATAGTCACAATACTACAAACAACAGATAGAATTGAACTTTGAAACTAGAAAGCTATACCCAACTTTGGAAAATGTATATAACTTCTTTAAACTTCAATTAATAAAAGACAATGACACTTAATCTCACAAGAATATTTTAGAAGTAAATAATTTCATGTTCACTGTCTTAGTTCCAAGCAGGCACTCAATAAATATTAATAGTCTCCCTATGTCTACCCTCTTTCTCCAACAATACAACAATTCAAGCAGTTTATCTATTTAATCATGTTCTTACATGTTTATTATTTCTATTGCTTTAATGAGATAAAACAAACTGTCATAACCATTTTTTAAGGCAGTCTAGTACAATGACAACTTTGGACTAACGGGTTAAAAGGTAAGGACTTAAGTACATTCAAAGGATTTAAGTATTAAGTTCTGCCACCTATTAGCTATCTGTCCTTAGTCAAAATTTTTAATCTTTATGAGACTCCTTCCTCATCTGAAAAACTAGAATATAATTTATATGCCCTATATATCTAAAAGCACTGCTATGAGAGAAAAAATTGAAATAATGTACATAAGTGTGTGCCTTATAAATTTTAAAGTAGTATATACAAATGTTTACACTAACTTTTAAAAAATAAAAACCCTTAATTTTATCATGAGTCTACTCAAATAGATTATAATACTAGGCCTTGGGGAAAGGAGTGAAATGTTACACCAAAAAGTAGTATCTCCTTTCTCCTTTTTGCCTATCCCTATCCACTGCTCCATAGATTTTAGCATTAATCAAAAAATACTTGGCCGGGCGTGGTGGCTCACGCCTGTAATCCTAGCTCTCTGGGAGGCCAAGGCGGGCGGATTGCTCGAGGTCAGGAGTTCGAAACCAGCCTGAACAAGAGCGAGACCCCGTCTCTACTATAAAAATAGAAAGAAATTAATTGGCCAACTAATATATATATATAAAAAAATTAGCTGGGCATGGTGGCGCATGCCTGTAGTCCCAGCTACTCGGGAGGCTGAGGCAGAAGGATTGCTTGAGCCAGGAGTTTGAGGTTGCTGTGAGCTAGGCTGACGCCACGGCACTCACTCTAGCCTGGGCAACAAAGCGAGACTCTGTCTCAAAAAAAAAAAAAAAAAAATACTTGGGAGCAGGGTGCTGTGGTGCACAGCTGTAGTCCCACCTACTTGGGAGGCTGAGGTGAGAGGATCACTTGAGGCCAGGAGTTTGAGGCCAGCCTGGGCAACATAGTGAGACCCTGTCTCCAAAAAAATAAAGACATAAAAAAAATACTTGAGCAAAAATTCAGCTAAATTGAGTAAACAAATATGGTATTTGACATAATGTTACATCAGTTTAACTAAATAAAAGTATGTTGGTGAGTATCTAACCAGGAAAACCAAAACAACCCTATATAGTTATAACAGATAGAATGTAATATAGGGAACTGGCTACAGAAATGACAGAAAAAGTACAAAGCCAAAAAAGTGGACAGTGAGACAGTGAGGCAACCAAAGATCAGCATTCTAGGAAACTGCTATCCTCCTAGGGTAGAGGTCAACAGGAAGAAGCAGGACCTCCAGACGGAAACTGGAGCTCTAACAGGTCTGTCCAGTGAGAGACAGACCCACAGAGGAAATACAGCTACTACCAGAATCACTGTCCAAGGCAAAGAGGATAAGGAAAAAGTACCCTGGCTTCTGTCTTCCTTGCCCTCCAACTTCCATTATTCCTCAAGGACATGCAAGTGGAAATGCAGCCTGCCAGTGTCAGCCTCCCTGTCACAGGGAGCAGAAGAATGGAAGGATGAGAAATGGCTCTCATGGCAAACAGACCCAGGACCTGCACAAATAGTAATTCTGCCCATTCTAGGAAATACCATTAAGAAGCTACTTCATCAGGAGCATCAAAATAGTATACTTTCTCTTAAAACTTAAGTACATTAGAGGATTAACTTACGAAAGATTTGGATTATCTTCTGTTAAATTATTTTCCTTTCTTGTCAAGCATTTATAGAAAAAGCTACTAAAAATGTGACTTCGTTCAACAAGTTCATCTGATGCCTTCTCCAATATAAGATACCTGTAAAGCAGTAACACCACAAAAGTAAATTATGTATAGATTTTACCTGGTCTTCCCACAATTATATGTTCTGAAATCTTCATTTTTATATACAATTAGATTTCAAAGCAATATTGCAGTTTCTTTTGACTTCAGCTTCCAATTTGGTCTTTAGTTACTTCACCTTCTATCAAGATCATTTAAAGCAGAAATTGCTCACTTATTCATTTATTTAATATTTATCAAATTCCTAACATGTAACAAACATCATGTTTACATCAAAAACACAAAATAAGAGGAGAAAAATAAAGTACCTGCCCCCATAGAGCTTACAATGTAGAGGAGTGAGGTTAGAAGAAAATATTAATCAAATAATCACATGATAAAGTATAAATCTGAAACTATGACATTTCTAAATCTAGAAAAATTTTAATAATTGAGATATGACTGATCTCTAAATCCATATTTCACTTCTATACTAAAACAATTCTTCCATACAAGCTTATAAATCAATCACATAATGATTAAACCTTTCATAATTAGAAAACTCTGTTATTCTTAATAGTTTATGCAGATTTGAAAATGCCTTTGCAATTGTTTTTTAAGAACTGAGTAGCTAGAGTTTGCAGATCAGAATACTGAAAAGGAAAGAGCTGTGTGGGAGAAAGAATTCCAGATAGCTGCACAGAATCCTCCTCAAGAAGTTAGCAGAGTATTGATCACTGCATGTATGTAAGGAAAGTACCCAAGCTCTGGGGAAAGAACTATCCAAAAGGATTAGAGAGAATGGTACTGAGCATTCATGCAGACCAGGAATGGTGTCTGTTGCTACTAGCCAGACTGAAAAATCTCATGAGGCAGTGGGTAAAATACTCAGAAGGGTCTTTCTGCAGTAGGCGGGGATCAATTAATGGCAAATCTTAAATGCATCAAACTGTTTCCAAATAATTTAACTGTGTCCCAGAACAAAATTCAAGCATACTTAACAGGAGTACAAAAATACCCAGCACCCAGTAAAAAATTACCAGACATCTAAAGAAGCAAAGAAAGACTCATAATGAAGATAAAAATCAGTCAACTGAAACCAATCCAGCACTGACATAGATGTTAGATAAACATAAAAGAACCTAAGACAGTTATTATAACTGTTCCATATATTCAAAAAATCAGAAACATGGAAGATATTTTTTAAAACACAAATGAATTTCTAGATATTAAATATAAAATATCTGTAAATATAAATGATAATGTGAAATTGTGACCCTGGAGCACTGGAATAAAGATAGTATTATAAGTAATTAGGTAAGACCATATAACAGTAGGTTTGGTTGGAGAGAGATCTGTGAAATAATCAGAAAAATATCTCAATCAAATATTGGAAATTTAGGTCTAGGGATACAGTACAAAATGAGGGCCGGAAACAAATTTCCTTTGCATAAAAGTTTTAAAAGCTTTTATATCTATTCCTTCATCTTTGACAATACAAAAGTTTAAAAAGGCCGGGCGCTGTGGCTCACGCCTGTAATCCTAGCTCTTGGGAGGCCGAGGCGGGCGGATTGCTCAAGGTCAGGAGTTCAAAACCAGCCTGAGCAAGAGCGAGACCCCGTCTCTACTATAAAGAAATTAATTGGCCAACTGATATATATATAAAAAAAAAAATTAGCCGGGCATGGTGGCGCATGCCTGTAGTCCCAGCTACTCGGGAGGCTGAGGCAGAAGGATCACTCAAGCCCAGGAGACTGAGGTTGCTGTGAGCTAGGTTGACGCCACGGCACTCACTCTAGCCTGGACAACAAAGTGAGACTCTGTCTCAATTTAAAAAAAAAAAAAAAAAGTTTAAAAAAAAAATTAAAGGAATAGTGACATGCGTTTTTAAAATGACAGTTAACTTTCATGGTGCTTAAAGATACAAGAGGAAACTGCATAGAACTGCTTCTTTTTGGTTCCCCCCAAGTGATTTGTAATTGTAATTATACAAAGTGATTTGTACAATAATATAGTAGTTAAAGAAGTATAAATCAAAAACCAACATATAGGTCAGGCACAGTGGCTCATGCCTGTAATCCTAACACTCTAGGAGGCCGAGGCAGGAAGATCACTTGAGGTTAGGAGTTCGAGATCAGCTTGAGCAAGAGAGAGACCCTGCCTCTAGAAAAAATAGCCAGGCATGGTAGCATGTGCCTATAATCCCAGATACTGGGAAGGCTGAATTGCTTGAGTGCAGTCATTTGAGGTTGCAGTGAGCTATGACGATGCCACTGCATTCTACTCAGGCAACAGAGTGAGACTCTGTCTTAAAAATAAAACAAAAAAAAACCCCAACAAACAAAAACAAAATCAAACAAAAAGGCAGTAGCTTTCTTTAAGTATATATTAGAAGTATCTATGAGAAGTAAAAGAATGAACTGATTTAGTCAATTCTAGAAAACCTTGATAGGCAAATATTTTCCAGATCTGAAATCTAGGCAGGTTATTTTTGCTGGAGTTAAAATAACTCAGAGAAAAAGACATTTATGTTAAGTTTCTCAGTAAAACCTGAAAAAAAAAATGAGAATAACCATTTATCATTGTACTTACTTAAGGTAAAAATCAATGATTACATCATTAAGAAACTCTCCTTCTTCTAAACACTCCAGATCTTCATTAGTTACTCCTAATCCCCCCTTGGTAGGTGGTGGAGGATATACAATTAACCTTAAAATATGAAAATAAAGTTTAAAATATTGGTATGGAAAATTCTAGATACCTAAGAGATTTCTTATATGAAATAATAACAGACCAGTAGTATTCTATGACTAAAATCTGTAGGTTGAAAGTATTCGACAGGACACAAACAATTATATTTTCCTTCCTTTATTTTCACAAGCTATTAATGATATTCTCATTAAGTCTCATCTTCTCCTTTCCAATTCTTCCCATGTTGGTTAGTCTCAATAGACTACTATCTCAGTATTAGTCTCAATATTGTCTAATCAATAGGTTTTATCTCACAATCAGTTATAATACCATTGAAGATGTCTGTCTTCTGCACAATTTTTAACTTTTAACAACTGATGTAATAAAATAGATTTTCCTATACTTCGATTTCTAATTCTAGGTTTGAATCCTCAAGACTAGTCCCTTTCCATTCAAAAAAGCCTGCAGTCACTAACTATGCTCTCCTCCTGGTGTCTAGTCTATACCAGCAGCTGGGCAATAAAGAAATAACATGGGAGCTTACGAGGTTAAGTTTAAGAAAGTGCTTGTAATGTAAGACTTAAGAGAACATAAAGGAAATGAATAATTACATCACAACTAGAAAGTAGTAGAGAACAGGTGACAACAAATTAGGCATCTTTCTTCTGGCACTCTCTTAAAGCTTAGAAATGAGACTGAAAGAGCGGCTTATTGAAATAACAGGAAAATATCTAATCCTATAATTTCCTAATAACAACTAAAGATAAATCATGAGCTCTTTCCCTGCTCTCTCTCCCTCTAGTTGACCAGCTGCCACGCACCCTGCACGGTTGCATTCTCACAACATCTAAAAAGAGCCCAATAAACAAAAAGGAAATGTAAATCTTTTTTTCTACATTCACCAGCTTACTACCCTTTTAGAATTTCCTGAGGAGTTCTGAGAGGACAGCAGGGGGACCAACTCCAGGCCTTAGTTTCCTGCCCAAAACCATATCTCAGGGGCAAAATCACATCCCCTGCAATAAACCTGACTACATTTCAGAGATAATCAAGTCTCTAGGAGCAGAGAAAATAAGAAAGATAGACAACCTGATGTCTCACAGCTGCCTCCTGCTAATTACTCCATAACAGCTTGTATTAACATTATCATCTTGCCTCCAAGAATAAAGAAAGGAGCAAATGCAGCAGTTTCTCACAGCAATCATTATTTTTTTCCTCTTTGTCCCCATAAAATCAGCAAGCCACTTGGCCTCAGTGCTGGCACCCCCCTTCTCTTTCTTCAGGATACCATGCCACATCCTGCTCTCACTCTCCTCTCTCTCTTATTCTCTCATTCTCTCTGTCCTTCTAAGAAGATAAAATAAACTTTTTTACATACATATTATATACATCCTAATCTCTGCATGAGAAATTTTTCTCCACCTGCACCATGAATATCTACTAAGTTTTCCACCCTAACAAAGACCAGTGTGAATTCCTGGCTATAATCTTGGAATAGATAGGGTGGTACTCAATTAGCAAATGTAGTCAATAATAAAGGTATAATATGTACTTCTTGAAAGGGATTGGCCTTGCTGAAATAACAGGAAAATACCTAATCCCACTATTTCCAAATAACAGCTAAGGATCAATCATGAGCTCTCTCCCTGCTCTCTGCTCTTTCTTTCCCTCGCTGACCAGCTGACAGGCACCTTGCAGGGACTTAGTTTTCACAACATCTGAAAAGTGCCTAAACACACAGCAAGGAAATGTAAATCTCTCACTTCAAAACTGCTTTTGAGAATTTGTTTTAGAGCCTTGGGGAGTTCCTGAATGGTCAAGCAAGAGGTGCCCATTATAGGCCTCAGTCTCTGTCCCAGGGGCAGAATCAATGACCAGACCACAATCATCAGTGATAAACCTGTGGCTTGTTATCAGCTTCTGTTATTGGCTTGCTGCTAAGAAAAGGAGTAGATGCAGTGTTTACAATACCCTGTTAATTTGGCTACAATCATACATCATCTTCATCATTTTTTTACTATTCCTAATAAAAAGCCTGATATCTAATTCTCTCTTCCAATACACTTTTCCTCTTCCTTCCTTTCACCTTGTTGGCCCTTTTCTGCTTGGGAAAAGTAAAATAAATGTCTTCTATCTTAAACTTTGTTTGGAGAAATCTTTCTCAAAACCTGCGTGTACTAGCTCTGCAACAGCACTCCATCCTAACACTTCTTGCCCCAGAATGGTTCAAGAAAAGAAGAATCATCCAAATTGATTTAATCTTGGTACCATGGCACCTAAATCAAACAAGAAAACCAAATATTTTAAATGATAATTGTTAGGTTTGTTCCAGGTGGGAACCTGAAAAGTATGTATAGGACAGAATGTGGTTAATGGAAAACTTAGACTTGTAAAACAATAGCCTCAGGAGTCTGGAGAGTCCTGGACATTGTAAATCTAACAGACAGCTGCAGCCAGCATTCCTTCCTCTGCACCCCACCTCCACTGGGATGAAGTTTATCCTTCCCTATCTCTCCTGATAAGGACAACTCTGGAGCTGAAGGATGAATGTGACTGGGGCAGGGGTCATAGGAGCTGGTTGTTTGAAAAAGGATTTATTAAAAGTGGCTGTTCTGGCCGGGCGCGGTGGCTCATGCCTGTAATCCTAGCACTCTGGGAGGCCAAGGCGGGCGGATTGCTCGAGGTCAGGAGTTCAAAACCAGCCTGAGCAAGACCCCGTCTCTACTAAAAATAGAAAGAAATTAATTGGACAACTAAAAATATATATACAAAAAACTGGGCATGGTGGCGCATGCCTGTAGTCCCAGCTACTTGGGAGGCTGAGACAGGAGGATCGCCTGAGCCCAGGAGTTTGAGGTTGCTGTGAGCTGGGCTGACGCCATGGCACTCACTCTAGCCTGGGCAACAAAGTGAGGCTCTGTCTCAAAAAAAAAAAAAAAAAACAGTGGCTGTTCTGGTCCATTTACTTACTCCCCCCAGAGAAACCCTCTATAAAACCCAAAGCTTTCCCCTCTCTCAGTGTGGACGCTTTTTTGCCTCCATCCATCTGAGCACCCAGATGCTCAAAATAAACAGCATTTAGCTACACATGAGGTTTCATGTATGTCTCTCTCTTTGCTAGGGACCTAACAATAATATGATAGTTTCTTTCTTATTGGCTATTTTCCTATCCTGTGCTTTCAACTGCCTTTGTAAAAAAACAGAGAAGAATCACATGGAGGTATAGAAATCATCCTCAAATGTACAGACTCTCTATTCTGCCTTACCACCATGAGAAGAAATATAAAAGAAAAATACAAACAAAGAAGAAACTTCTAAAAGGGAACTTGTGATCAACTCTAAAGTACCTTAAATTGTATGTACATGCATAGAAAACGATGGTTTACAGCCTACAATGCTAATGGCTGTTATCTCTTAATGCACTGGAGGATAAGTGTTTCTCCCATTATACTTTTCCTGTATTATCAACAATGAACTTGTATTATGTTGAAAATTCATTAAAAAGTAAATGTAATAAAAAATTACAATATAGCCGATGAAAAAAATGTATGTCCAAAGGCTACAGAAACTGCATACATCTGAATTAGCTTCCACTCTATTCCAAAACCCAAGAGTACAGAGCAGAAATACCAGGCTATAGTTTGATTCTTCTAATTTAAGGAATTAGATTTAAGTCTACCCATTACGAGAGGGTAATTTTTAGCATCATTGAGTTGATGAGGAAATGAGATAAAAATCAGGAGATCACATTCATTATATATATGAAAAATAAAAACAAATTAACAAAGCAATATATATATATCTACATATATACATATACATATATATCCATTTCATAAATATATTGTATAACTTCCTCATAAATTCAAAAACCAAAAATTATTCCCATTATTAACCATCAGCATAAAAGTAAAACTCAAAACATTTCACAAGTTAATCTACTTAAAAGCAACAACATGAATAAAAACTACTAATATGCCACCTATTACAAACAGGATATGACATAGTACATACTTCTGAACAGGTCCAGTGTGCCTGACTTCTCGCCATTCTTCATCTGAATTAGATGTAATAGAAAATGAATAGCAACCACTACTTTGCTTCTGCAGGAAGGTGTAGGTAGGTTTGGCTGCATCTGTATTTGAGGGCTGACAGAACGTGGCAAGGAAAAAGATCTCCTTATAAATACATAAATACAAACATATTAATTTTCAAAAGAGAAAAGTCAAAACCTAGACCTGTAAGAGAAAATGTAACTAAAAGAAATTCCTATATATGAGTTATATCCATACTTTGGAATTCCTATAAAGATATAACCACGCCAAAAATAATACTTGTCATCAAAAGATACTATATAAACAATGGTCAAAATTTAACTTGAAGTGCTACTTCCAGATATGAGCTCTATAATTAAAAAAGAATTTGACAATTCTGCAGTTCAAAATAATCAAAACAAGTGACAAATAGCAGGAAAAAGTAAAATTTAAAATTAAGAGAGACTGAATTTATAGTAACATAAATTGATATTCTATTATTTAACAAAAAGTAATATATAAATTTGTATATACAATATAATTAGCATGCAAAATTTTTATAACATTATACATAAAGATAGTGGTGAAGTCTTATGTCTTATCTTACTAATGTGGCTTTCTACAGGCCTTCTAAATAAAAGATTAGCCCCATACCAAACCTGTGTGTGTGTGTGTGTGTGTGTGCACATGCTACATAAACACTTTGCTCTCTATATGTATTTGGTAGAGATATACAAACTACATGTATATTACCAAACTCCTATGAAAATAAACATAGAATTTTAAACTTACTATTGTTTTCAATATAATTTTAGACTAATAGAAGAGTTGCAAAAAACAAACCTCACCCAGATTCCCCTAATTTTATCATATATAACCTTAGTATAATTATCAAAACTAACAAATTAACATTGGTATAATACTATTAACTAAACTATAGACTTTAATCTGATTTCATTAGTTTTTCCACTAATATCCTTCTTCTGTTTCAGGATCTTACAATTCCTCAGCTTTCCTTGTCTTTCACAACTTCTGAAGAATACTGGTCAGTTATTTTGTCAATGGGTTTCTCCCATTTTTCTCACGACTAGATTGAGGTTATTATACATTATCAGGAAGAAGACCAGAAATGATGTACCCTTCTCAGTGCATGATATGAGGGGATACATTATGTCGATACGTTTTATCACTTGTGATGTTAATTTTGATCACTTGGTTAAAGAGATGTCTGCCAGGTTTCTCTGCTGAAAGTTACTACTTTTCTTTTTGTAGTTAGTAAATATTTTGGGCTAGAGACTTTGAGATTATGTACATATCTTCTTTCTCCTTAAATTTTCACCCATTTAATTTGTCATCCATCAGTGGAGTTTATCTGCAACAATCATAAATACAATATCCTAGTGGTGGTTTTATATTTCTCTTATTCCTTTTACTTTATTAATTGGATTCTTTTCTAAGAAATAATTATCCCTTATCCACCATTTATTATTTATTAATTCATTCATTAACTCAGTTATCAATTTATATCAGCATAGACTCATAGATATTTATTTTATTCTTAGGTTATAATCCCATTCTATCATTATTGATGTTATTGAACAAACTGTTCCAGCTTTGACTCTGGGAGTTATTTCAGGTTAGATCCTATGCCCTTTTAACAAAATATAACATTTTGAAATCAGCCTAATATCAATGAAAGAATTTTTACTGAATCTCCTCACCCCTTGCTAATTATATTAATGATATGCTAACCTGAGATATTGATTTCATCTTCATTTCTTCAGTAGCAGCACCAGGAAAAGAACAAGCTGAAGCACAGTAGTAATGAATAAAAGAACTTTCTTTTGAAGAGAGGTTCTGAAACAAAGGAAGTGCCTGAACCCAAGACAATGGATAAGAAAGCTCTAATTCTCCATTGGTTGTACTTATTTCCGTCATAATATCTTTCAATTTCAATTCTTCTCTTTGTGAAATAGGATTGTGTAGCTCAAGGAAAATGAATTCACTGAATTTTGCTATAAAAGAAAAAAAATTTTTTTCAATAGTATTTTTCCAAGGGGATTATAAGTAAAATAATTTAATTATTAATAACAATAAGATTGGTATATAACCCAAAGTATTTTGTACATTAGGTAAAAACCCAGGTGAATTAAAACCCCAAAATAGGCCATTAGTAACCTAGAACTAAAACTCGCAATTTTTAGACTCCTGTTCTACTGCACTAAAATGGAAACTCCACAATGATATTGACTGCTATTATCTCCAATGCGTGGCATTTAGTAAGTGCCAGTAAACATTTGTTAATTAATGTATAAATGAACAAATGAATGAATTATAATTAAGCAATTAATTATTTTTCTCTAGCCTCCTTCACTGATCAAATCTATCAACTAAAAAAGTATTCCAATTAAATACCTCCTACATTTTCTTTCCTCAACCATTTCAGTGTTGGTCTCAAAAGATATTATCTCTGCCCATAATGATTATAAATGAGTCTTTATATTTTCCCCAACTTCTTTATTATTTAATCATAAATTTTCCTATTGAAAATAATTAGGATAGGAAAATAACTAATTTTAAAAGTATAAAATTTAGGTTATTACCTAACATTTTTAATGTGTAAGAGAGTAGGAGGAAGAAGGCAGAGAGATCAAAGAGGTGAGAAAGGAGCAGGCATAGTTGCTCATGCCTATAATCACAGCACTTTGGGAGACTGAGGCAGGAGGATGGCCAGGAGTGAGAGATCACTCTGAGCAAGAGAGAGACCAGCATGCACAAGAGTGAGACTCAAACGGTACAAAACATAGAAAAATCAGCCGGGTGTGGTGGCACGTGCTTGTAGGCCCAGTTATATGGGGCTGAGGCAGAAAGACAGCTTGAGCCCAGGAGTTTGAGATTGCATGAGCTATGATGACACCACTGCACTCTAGCTGAGGAGACAGAGCAAGTCCTTGTCTCAAAAAAGAGGTGAGAAAAAAACCTTACTAATTTGACTTACCCAATTCTAAACCAAATTCTTTTAGGATTTGGAAATTAAACAAAGTTGGGAAAACTTTAAGATGCATATTTATGTAGATAAGTATTATGGGCATATACAGAAAATTATTCAACCCAAACTCAAAGGAATGATATATAAGTAAACTGGATTATATTTTTTAGAAACTAAAGAAAATGTTGAAAGTAAGAGTTTGTATTGTAAGTATTTTATTTAACTTTGTTAGTAACTAACTCTGTCACAGTTCATTATGAAACAATGGCAAGAAACTCCTAAGAAAGGTAGTCAAGGATGACAACTGACTAAAAGATAAGGCATTCCTTTTTTTTACAGTATAGAAACTTTTTATTTTCAAGGTAAACAACATTTAAGATTTTTTTAAGGTCTTCTTTTTATTTTAGAAGATAATTTCACCTGGTTGAATAAAATTATCAGGAGAAATTATTTAAGCAAATAAAATTTTACATAATTTTAAGGGATAAAATTTTTCTAATTCAATGAAATTAATTTCAATTCACTGAAGTAATTACATTGTAATTAAATTATTTTAGAAGAAAACTATTTTATGTATTGCACTTGTGAGGTTTTTCTGAAATTTGGAAATAATTTTATACTCACACTGCTGGCTTAATGTAGAGTTTTCTAATTGGGCCTGAATTTCCTGAAGATAATTTGCAGAGACCCAGAGGAAAAGGATTGCATGACTCCTTTTACTGTGATCATCATCCATACTTTTCCATAACCCAAATCTCTTTAAATGTGTGGTATCCACTAGCAATGAAACCTCATTCAGGGACACTGAAATAAAAGATAACAACTTAAAAACTAACCTATTTAACAATACAGCACTTAAGCACTATATGACACGTCTTAATACATTATATTTTTTAAAATATATATATATTTTAAGAATTATATGCAAAGTTTTTTAAAAAATATATTTCCAGTGTACTTCAATAAACTTAGCTAAGATACCTCAAGCAGTATTATTACAGTAAAAAAAAAAATCACATTACAATTAGGAAGAGCTAAATAATTATTATTATTAAGTGATAATTAGAGATTTAGTCTCTCATACTATATGATTTCAGTTATATCCAGAAAAGATAAATTTGAGATTAAATATCCATAGTATAAAAAACCTTGTCCAGAGAGATTTCTCACTAGGAATTTTGAAATCATTAGCAAAAAGAAAAAACAGTCTACCAATGCACAAAATTAAGTATAGTATACCTTTTGAAAATTATATATTTCCATTTTTTTATCTTGATCAATACTATAAACCAAGACTCTAAATGCTATCATAAGCCAATTTCTGCCCATCTTTCTTCTCTCAAAACATCTCCATTTCACTATACAGATAAACCACTATCAAAGGATTCTCAATAATAATATGAAGTTCTAAATGGTTTAAGAAGACATTCTCTTAAAATTCTTACAGGTTTTATTTTTCAAAATTCCTGGGTAATCATTCTAAAGTATTAGTCCTTCTCCCTCTTAGTGAGATAAAGGAATCTCCTCTGAGGATAACTTTTTTTTTTTTTTCAATTCAAAGAAACAGAAAACTGGTTTAAAGAAGTCCTGAAGATCATCTAGTTCAACTTTAAGAAAGGAAGCAGCTAAACCAGGAATGCAAATATCAATTAAGGATAAGCCCAAGATAGGTGCCTATTTGAAACAAATCTCTCAGTACTCCTCCCTGCATTATCTCCTGGCACTTTGCTATTCAAAGTGTGGTCCTTAGACTGTAACATTGGCGTTACCTGGAAGTTTGTTAGAAATGCAGAGTATCAGGCCCCACCCTAAATTTACTGAATTAGAATCTCAATGTAACAGCCCACCTCTACCCCTAGGATTCATATGAACATTAAAGTATGAAAATCATTTTATATTGAGTATTCAAATACTCAATTAACCAGTCATCTTAATGTTCCCAAGCCAGCCATTCTATTCTTTTTTTTTTTTTTTTTTTTTTTTGAGACAGAGTCTCACTTTGTTGTCCAGGCTAGAGTGAGTGCCGTGGCGTCAGCCTAGCTCACAGCAACCTCAAACTCCTGGGCTCAAGCGATCCTCCTGCCTCAGCCTCCCGAGTAGCTGGGACTACAGGCATGCGCCACCATGCCTGGCTAATTTTTATATATATATATCAGTTGGCCAATTAATTTCTTTCTATTTATAGTAGAGACGGGGTCTCGCTCTTGCTCAGGCTGGTATTGAACTCCTGACCTTGAGCAATCCGCCCGCCTCGGCCTCCCAAGAGCTAGGATTACAGGCGTGAGCCACAGCGCCCGGCCCCAGCCATTCTATTCTTATATTTTAACTTCCTAATCTGAAAACTATCAGTAAAACTGGCAGCAAAAAACAAGCATATTAAATTAAAATGGGATGAGAATCCTCAGAAAAATCTCCTCAGCATTTCCTCCTCATGCAGCTCACAGCCCCATATGTACATTTGATACTATTTCTGTGAAATCTACAGTTCCAGGCTTTTAGAATCAAAGGCTAAATTTCTTTTAGAAAGACTGCTTTAAAGTTCCTCTTTTTAAAAACAAGGGGATTTAATACCATCATGAGAAAAATTTACACCTCATTACCAAATTTTCCCCCAATATGTGGTCAATTCTGTTACATGGCTACAGCAAAGATACTGAAAGCGGGAGTTGCCTACCCACTTTTCCATTCCTTCTTCTTCCTTAACAATAGAACCCTAATTTTACTGAGAGAAGCAAGATATTCAGCTTTTAAGAAGAACTCTGTTTCCTAGCTTCCTTTGCAAATAGGTGAGTGGTCATATGACTAGTTAGTTAATAAAACCTAATTTGAAGAAGTCAGGCAGCATGCACATCTAAGAAGTCTCCTCAAAAAGGCAAGAGATAAGTAGCATGTGATCTTGCCACCATTTTCCCCTTCATCCTCCCTACGCCTGAAATGCTAACATGATAATGGAGTATGTATGAGCAGCTACAATGGCCATGAGATAAACTTGAGAATGCAAGTTATGTGTTAGGGATGACAGAGTAGAAAACTAAAAGAGTCTAGGCACCTGATGACCAAGGAAACACCATACCAGTTCAGCCTGCCTCTGGATTTCTTCTATGCGAAGGAAAAATAAACTATTTTCTTTAAGTTATTGTTACTAACAGCCAAACATAATTAATAGCTAATATAAATTTGAAAAATCAATATTTTCTCTCAGTTGCATGGAAAAAGAATAAACATTTAGACCTCTAGGTTCCCATCTATAAAACCTTTTATATGCATCCCTTGCTTTAAAAACATTTTGCATATGGAAATATGAACAGGATTTGGGGAAGAAGACTAATATTGTCTTCTTCCATGATGAAACTGTAAGCCTATTATCACTGAAAAGACTATTTTTCCAAAATTTGTAATTAAAATTGCCTTTTAAAAATCACATGTGATAAAAAATCATAAATAAGCAATATTTGAAACAAAGTACGAATATTAACTATGAAAACCTAAAATATTATTTTTGACATCTGTATGACAAGAATTTGAGAGGTTACTCTCTCTGTTATCCAGGTCTTTAACTATAAATTGTAGCATTATCTTTTCTGAAATTATTCCTTTTAAAATCACATGCATTTTTTTGTTTGTTTCTTCTAAATAGCTAATATTATATTATTCCTTAATAATTGATTAATATTTACTAGTTAGGACTATCAATAAACTTATTCTGTGCTTTATATAGTCTTACCTAAAGTGGCAATCTAATTATTAGAGTCATTATCATAACTTAGTTTTGGATTCTGTACTTGAGGTATCTGGGGAATCCAATTAAAGTCACTTTGATCACATCTGCAATATTGGAACAAAAGCTTCCTCTTCTCTAGTTCATAGCTAAGGTGCTATTTGTGTATTTTTCCTCCTTGTTCTTTTTATAATCCATTATCTAAAGAGATTATACTCTATTGCTTATTATTTGTTTTCTTAGTGTAATTATTTATTCTGGAAGATTTTTAGTTGAAGAAAGAATAAAAAAATGACCTGAGTCTTGTGTAAATTGCATGTACATTTTCCAATCTACTTTGCCTTACTCAGATAAAAAATGTTATAAAAACCTCTCTTAGCCTCTACATTAAAACATTTTATGTGTTTGTGTGCAATATTAAAGATTTTTCTTATGCTTCTTCCCTTATAGTTCCTATTTTCATCCATTTTTATACATACCAAAATATTCTTGCTATGCTTCAAAACTTTATTTCTGCTAATCCAAAGAAATCACCATGAGTCCTTTAATACTGTTTGACTGAGAGTGATTAACATAACATTCTATTACAAACATTTTATTCTATTATAAAACATTTTAACTTCCTTTGGAGTTGCTACAAAATGTTAAGGCGAAACATTATTAAACTTAGTTTTACTTCAATTCTAAACTGAAAAAAAGTTATAGAAAACTAGTTGCAAAAGGATTTCAGAGTTTTGCTGACCAATTATTTTACACTCAAAATTACAATGAAAAGGCAAGGTCATAAGATAATGATAACTTACCTTGAAATGGGATCTTAACATACTTTGTTGTAAACTAAAGAAAAAAAATCAAAAAGCAAAAAATGAGTTACTACCCAAAATGTATTACTATTCAAATTTTTACTTTATTTTTCAAACCATACGCACATATTCAAAGTCTACACACTAAAAGTGCTCAAGCCCTTTTATCAATAAATCAAGAAAATGTTTCACTATAAAGACTTAGTTTTCATGGAAGTTTACAAACCCCTTGCATTAAGTTTCTCTATATGCTCATTAACAAAAACCAGTAAGACTTTATTTAATATATTTTTCAAAAATGTTTCCTGAAAATTTAAAGAAAAAAAACAAAACAAAACAAAGTATGGTATGTATATAGCTGTTGTGAAAAGGAAAAAAAAAACAAAAAAAGACAAAGTTAAAACTGCCAAGAGACCCATAAGTAACAGTGACTCTGGTAAATATATCATAAAACAGTTTAATTCTTGGCTTTGTTGACTCAGCAGCACATGATTATTTTCTCAGGGATGAATTTAAACTAACCAAACTCACAGAAGACTACAGAAGAAACCAAAATACCAATGTGCTATATTGTTTATAATAAGAAATTAAAATTGTCAAAAGACTTAACTGGTGGCCCACCTGGTATGCACATTGTGTTTCTGTAGAAAAACTAATTATGATTAAAAGGTTGCTTTTACCACATGAAAGCGGGACTAGAAAAATCAGTTGTTTACTGTGAAATGGCTACAAAAGATCCAGCTTCACAAGAGTAACAGACTTGTCAAAATGAATAACATAAATTAAGTCCCAAAGCCAGAACACTCTCTCCCCTGGATGACTTTCGGATGGGCACCACCAACTCTTCCATCCCTAACATTCATCTTTTTTTGTTTCATCTTATGAACTCCCTTCTGACTGAGGCTTTTGCTCTTTTTGCTCCTTCCGCCCTAGGAAAGTTATTTTCTCTAGGTACTTTTCATATAAATTTGACCACCTTAAGTCTTGCTTTGGTAATAAATTCTCAAGAGTTGTGGAGCAAATCTTGCATGCACAATCTAAAACAGACTTATGCGTGGACGTTTGTTTTTCCATTAATGCCAAATGAATCTGTGCCTATTTATTTTTTCTCTTTTTATCAATACAATTACAAATAAATAAATGTATTTTAATAAATGAATTGATCATATCAGAGGTATATATAGTCTTTGAGCACAAAACAATATCAAAATGGTCGTGGTACATATCAGTAGAAAACACTGTTCAGTGAAATCACAGGTTTATGATGACTCCATTTATTTTTCCAATTTAAAAATTATTTCATATTGTGCTTTCACAAATATACCACTCATATTCCATAGAGTAAGTCAGCAAAATGTGAGGCAATAGGGCATATTAACTGACCTTGGAGTTAAAATGCTGCTCTATCTGTACCACTTACACAAATAGTAAGTAAGTAAACCCAGGCAACTTGCAGAACCACTTCAGCTTTAGTAAGACCCTTAATCAAGGGTAGCTATTATCATTATCACCACTTAGATAGCCTGCTCAGCCTGGGCCTCCAGGTCGCTGGAGACCCAGGCAGAACTAAGCACCCAAGGCCCTCCACAACTACCACTACCTATGAAGCCCCACCATGCCTCCACCACCACAGCTGCCACTGAGGGACCCAGGCAGAAGCAAACTCCCAGGGCCACCTGGCTCCACTGACATTGTGGAGGGGGAATTGCCCCACCCAATCAAGCTGTCAGCAACAGCCTGAGGGGACCAACCCATCCCCCAACAAGAACATCCCTCATCATCTGCTTGGACTGTGACCACCACAGGGGAACAGGAAAACACAGAAAAGCAGCAGTGTTACAGGTTCACAGTGCTTCTGCCCTTCTCCTGCATGATCAATCTTCCTGAATGGGACCAAAACATGCCATTCAAGGGCCTGGGAGCTGGGGGATAAATAACCTAGTCTGCCACCATTGACACTTGAACACCCTCCCAAGAGTCTGAGTTCCAACTAACCCGAATTGCCAGCAACAACAAACGTGGGTACCTACCAGCATAAGCTGGAGGGCACTGTACCTTTCCCTCCTTTACTGAGCAAAAGAGTTGCCAAAAGAGGAGAACAGGTGTACTACAAAACTATCTGTTTTGCACTGAAAGAAGAGATTCCAGATGACAAAGAATGAACATAAGAATTTCAGCAATGTGAAAAAACAAGCTGGTTTGACACCATCCAAAGGGTAATACTAGCTCTCCAGCAATGGATTTCAACCAAAAGGAAAATGTTAAAATGTTAAAATGACAAACATGGAATTCAAAACATGGATCATAAGTAAGATCAAGGGGATCAGAGAGAAAATTGAAAAACCAACACAAAGAAACCAAAAAAAAAAAAAAATTCAGGACATGAATGAAATATTCACTCAAGAGATAGATAATCTAACAGAAAATATAACAGAATTTCTGGAAATGAAAGAATCATTTAAGGAATGTCAAAATACAATGGAAAGTTATAACAACAGACCACGTAGAAGAATTTCAGAGCTTGAAGACAAGGCTTTCAAATTAACTCAGTTAGGCCGGGCGTGGTGGCTCACGCCTGTAATCCTAGCACTCTGGGAGGCCGAGGCGGGCGGATTGCTCAAGGTCAGGAGTTCGAAACCAGCCTGAGCAAGAGTGAGACCCCATCTCTACAATAAATAGAAAGAAATTAATTGGCCAACTAATATATAGAGAAAAAATCAGCCAGGCATGGTGGCGCATGCCTGTAGTCCCAGCTACTCGGGAGGCTGAGGCAGGAGGATCGCTTGAGCCCAGGAGTTTGAGGTTGCTGTGAGCGAGGCTGATGCCACGGCACTCACTCTAGTCTGGGCAACAAAGTGAGAAAAAAAAAAAAAAAAAAAAAAATTAACTCAGTCAGTAAAAAAGGAAGAAAAGAAAACCAAGAAGAATAAATAATCTCTCTGAGAAATATGGGATTATGTAAAATGAACAAGTATAAGAAACATAGGTATCCCTAAAGGAGAACAAGAAAAACAAAACACATGGAAAACCTATTTATAGGAAAAATGGAGGAAAATGTTCCTGGTATTGCTAGAGATTTAGACATTCAGATACAAGAAGGTAATCAAACACCTGGAAGATTCATGGCAAATCGCATTATCAACAAGGCACACAGTCATCAGTCTTGACAAAGTCAAAGTAAAGGAAAAATATCCTATAAGCTGTAAGACAAAAGCATCAAGTAACTTACAAAGGAAAATCCATCAGGCTAATGGCAGACTTCTCAGAAGAAAGCTTACAAGCCAGATGGGACCGGGATCCCCATTTTCAGTCTTCTGAGACAGAATAACTGCCAGCAAAGAATTCTGTATCCTGCAGAACTAAGTTTCATAAATGAAGGAGGAAAAAAGTCGTTCTCAGACAAGCAAACACTAAGGGAATGTGTCACTACTAGACCTGCTCTATAAGAAATGCTTAAATGTTCTATACATGGAATAGTACTATTGATACTTACCAGAATAAAAACACCTGGATGTTAAAACTCACAGCTCTTACAAAACAGTAACATAGAGGAGGAAACAAAGCAACAAGTTTGTAAGTAAAATGATGACTAGGACAGTATCTCACATAGCAATACTGACATTGAATATAAATGGTCTAAATGCCCCCACTTAAAAGACATAGTTTGGTGGAATGGATTAAAAAAAAAAAAAAACACAACCCAAATATATGCTATCTTCAAGAAATCCATTTAACTCACAAAGATTCTCATAGACTCCAGGAAAAGGGATCAGAAAAAAAAAAATTCAACACAATGGAAACCAAAAGCAAGTAGCTATTCTTTTATGAGATTAAATATACTTTAAATCAACAATAGAAAAAAAAGACAAAAATGGTCATTATATAATGATAAAGGGAGCAATTCAACAAGAAGATATAACAATCCTAAATACATATTCACCTAAGACAAGAGCCCCCAGATTCATAAAACAAATTCTACTAGATCTCAGGAAAGAAAGAAACAGCAACATCACAATAACCAGGGACTTCAGCACTCTACTGAGAGAAGGAGACAGATCATCAGAGCAGAAAATTAACAAAGACATAATGGACTTAAAAAGGGACTACAGAACAAATAGATACAACAGATATTTATAGAATACTCTAGCCCAAAATTAAAGAACATACATTCCTCTTATCAGCACATAGAGTATTTTCCAAGATAGATCATATATCAGGCCACAAAACAACTCTCAGCACATTTAGAAAAGTCAAAATTATGCCATCTATCTTCTTAGACCACAGTGGAATAATTCTAGAAATCAACTTCAAGAGGAACACTCAAAATTACAAAAATACATGGACATTAAAAAACCTGCTTCTGAACATCCTTGGGTCAATGATGAAAGCAAGATGAAAATCAAACAATTTTTTGAATTGAATGACTAAGACAAAACAAGCTTCCAAAATTTCTGAGATACTGAAAAAGCTGTGCTAACAGGGAAGCTCACAGAACTAAATGCCTACATTAAAAAGACATAAATATCACAAATTACAACCTAATGTTACACATCAAGGAACTAGAAAAGGAAGAATAAAACAAACCCAAAGCCAGCAGAAGAATAGAAAAACAAAGTTCAGAGAAGAACATATGAAATAGAAACTAAAAAAAAATACAAAAGATCAGCAAATTAAAAAGATGGTTCTTTGTAAAATAAACAAAATAATCAGCCCCCTATCAAAATTAACTAGAAGAGAAAGAACTCAAATAAGCTCAATTAGGAATGGAAAAGGAGAAATTACAACTGATACCACAGAAATACAAAATATCATCCAAGACTACGATAAAAACCTTTATATAAACAAACTAGAAAATCTAGAGGAAAGTAATATATTTACCTCCCAAGGTAAACACAACCTCCCAAGCTTGAATCAGGAAGAAATAGAAATCAACAATGAGTGGTAAGATTGAGACAGTAATAAAAAAAATCTCCCACTAAAATAAAGCCCAGCGTCAGACAGACACACAGCCAAATTCTACTAGACCTACAAAGA